AGAGCATCAAAAGTTCCATGATTTTGTGGTGCACCTTTTCTTCTGTTTGTTGTGTGTTTGTCCGCATGTCTCTTTCCTGGATTTTGTACTTAGTGAAAGTAGAGGATGGCTATAGATATGAATTAGTAGTCGGCTCTGTTGGTCTTGAAGGTGAGTAGCGTCCATCATCATAATTACTCTTTCCATGCACTGAATCCTTTGCCCTTATGTTTTTGGATGACAAAATCCTCTGCATTCTCTCCTCTGTCTCCTCAAATTTTGTGTCAGAGTATTTACTGTGTTGGTGAAGGACATTATGGCCTTTTCAACTGCCTTCAAGCTTTGCCTTGTTTCCTCTATATCCTGCGCAAGCCTTTGCACCTGTGATGCTATTGATAGAGCTTCTGGTTTAAATCTACCAATATTGTCATTGGAATTTGTTCTTGATGAAGAGAAGGTGCTCATTCCTTTGTTATTTCCAAAATTTTGAATGTTGTTAGGAGGTTTTAATGAGTTTCCCAAGTTCGCCATGTGGTATTCCTGGGGAATAAGAACTCGGCCCCACAGTGGGCGCCAAATGTTAACACTAAAAAATAGTCTAGATGGTGTGGAACCAAGATCCTTGCTGATAGAGAGAGTTTACAATGAAGAGAGAATGATGATGGAAAAATAATTTACCTCCTTAGGTTGATCATAGAGGTATTTATAGGATGCTTAAATACAATTATTCTAGGAATACAATTTTATTTAATTGGTGTTTGGTGTATTCTTATTATAGTGGGATTTATCCTACCAAACTTTGATAAGACCATCTCTAGAATGTCTCTACGTGTCCTAATTCTTATAAGACTTGATTTAGGGTATAATAGATTTAAAGGTAAAATTATAAACCAAACAATTTACCTCAATTTTAAAATTGTAGACTCTAAATCAATCCAAATTAATGTCAATTTGGATTGAATTTTAATCAAATTAGAATAATTTCAATTGGATTAATTAGTTTGCATCAGATGAATAGCCCTAATTTACATGGCTAAAAAAAACAAATTCACATTTCATATATATATATATATATATATATATTTTAAATTAA